TATAAAGATTGGAAAGATATGAAAATTCTTCTCAATTACATCACCAAAGGCACTAAGGACAATAAAAGATGATTTTAAGTTTTAAATATAGTGTAAGTAATTTTTAAAAGTTAAAATTATTTATTTTTGCTTAGTGCACCAAATGATTCGGTCTCATCTTCCAAACTTTGTTAAAAATAAATAAATTTTAACATGAATATCATTAGAATTGATTTGAAACATTCATAATCAAGATTTAAAACCCCTTAACCAAACATTCGAAAATAATAGAATATCAAGACTAATTCTATTATATAGTTTTAAGATTTTTAGAATGATATTTTTTTAAAACTTAATTAGGAGAATCTGAATATTATTTTAGAAATAATTAAAAATTTAGACTCTTAAGAGTAGAGTTATATATCAGTTTTGAGAGGTAGAGTTGTAAACGAATTAAAAATTTAGAATTAGGATGAGATTATATGATTAAAAAAGAAAAATAAATTAAAGAATATGGAGATATTTTATTAGAATTATTATCTTATAAAATAAGAAAAAAATTTAAAATATTACAATAAAATATATTATATTATTAGGCAGTACTATATGGATAATCTTTTTATACCACTTTTTGATACAACTTCCATATATCATTAGATGAGTGGATACATTCAATATCACGGATATCACATGAATAAAAAGAATTAATTATTTAAATGACACGTATCAATCATCTAATTAAAATTATACAATTAATTTAGAGATTTTAAACACCTAATATTTTAGGTTGATTTCCTCTCTCGCCGCCGCTGCTAGGGTTTTCCTCTCCGACGGGCGAGCCTTTCACTTCGGTGCTTGTCCCTGTTTTTTCAGGGCCCCTCCTCTCTATTTCTTACTTTTGTCTCGATTCCCTATTCCCTTCTTGGATTTGAATTGCATATTGGCCTGGGGAGATCTCGGGGAAGACTCTGTGATTTCAAATCTAAAGCCGCTTTGTCTCCTTCACATGCCCAACATCATTTTCCTCTCTAAAACAAAGCGATCCACTATTGCAATGCATCTGATTTGTTTAGATTTAGGGTTTGCATACGTCTTTGTCGTTGATTGGGTCGATAGGGGGGTGGATTGGCTCTGCTTTGAACCAATGTTTCTCAACTGAAACAATCCTTTGTTTCACAACCCCATGTTGCTATTATAATTGTTGATCCAGGTGGTTGTCATTGGAGGTTGATTGGGTTTTCCAATCGAAAGCAAGAGGAAAGGAATGCGGTTGGTGAAGCCGATGTTTTGAAAGGGGAGAACTCTATTCCAGTCGCTAAATGGGCTCTCGTTCCCTTAATGAATTTCAGCAACATGGGATTAAAGAGGATTGGAACAGTTAGGGCCATGGCTGGGAGTTCATGGAGACGAGGGAGGTGCCTGGGCTTGGATGGTGGACCATGCCTCTCTTGTTGATTATTCCTCAATGAATAGATAGGGCAACAACCTGTGCGTTGGGGACTGTTTGTTGCCAAAATCCCTTACTCTCCTCATGAAGTTGATTAGATAGGTGAGGACTTGTCCAGTAGCTTCTAATACTCATAGCGACTCTCCTTTCTACATTAATAGCTATATTTAGCTCATACAACAATTGTAATCATAATTTCTAGTTGCAGATGGCTCTCTTTATTTAATTGTCTATATTCGTTATGGATATAGTTTAAATCTGTTATTAGTGCTGTAAGTTATGCTTCTGATTTATGTTTTTAGGATATACTGCTTTAGGCTATATTGCCATGAGATAGAGACTTACTCTGTAATTTTTCATTATTTAATATATTTTTCTATTT